TGATGATACACAGGATGATGATACACATGATGATACACATGATGATACACAGGATGATGATACACATGATGATACACATGATGATACACAGGATGATGATACACATGACGATACACATGATGATACACAGGATGATATGCATGACGATACACATGATGATACACAGGATGATGATGATACACAGGATGATTGGCATGATGATACACATGATGATACACATGATGATACACATGATGATAGGCATGATGATACACACGATGATAGGCATGATGATACACATGACGATACACATGATCATACACATGATGATACACACGATGATACACATGATGATAGGCACACATGATGATACACATGACGATACACATGACGATACACACCGATGATAGGCATGATGATACACATGACGATACACACAGGCATGACGATACACACGATGATAGGCATGATGATACACATGATGATACACATGATGATACACACGATGATAGGATGATGATACACATGATGATATGCATGATGATAGGCATGATGATACACAGATGATGATACACAGGATGATGATACACATGATGATACACATGATGATACACATGATGATACACATGATGATACACAGGATGATACACAGGATGATGATACACATGATGATACACATGATGATACACATGGATGATGATACACATGACGATACACATGATGATACACATGATGATATGCATGATGATACACATGATGATACACATGATGATGACACACGATGATAGGATGATGATACACAGGATGATAGGCATGATGATACACATGATGATACACATGATGATACACACGATGATACAGGCATGATGATACACACGATGATAGGCATGATGATACACACGATGATAGGCATGATGATACACATGATGATACACATGATGATACACATGATGAGGCACACGATGATAGGCATGATGATACACATGATGATACACAGGATGATAGGCATGATGATACACATGATGATACACATGATGATACACAGGATGATAGGCATGATGATACACATGATGATACACAGGATGAGGCATGATGATACACATGATGATACACAGGATGATAGGATGATGATACACATGATGATACAGGATGATGATACACATGATGATACACATGATGATACACAGGATGATGATACACATGATGATACACAGGATGATGATACACATGATGATGATACACATGATGATGATGACGATACACATGACGATACACAGGATGATACATGACAGACTGCAATGTGAAAACATAACTTGCATTTCAATGTGTCAATCTAAAATCGCAACATGTTTCTAATTCCTAATTTGTTTCATTGTAAAGTGCTGAGCAAACTGTTGGCGCCATAAATCCTGTATAATAATAATAATAATAATAATAATAATAAAATAAGTGATTTATATATATATATACAGAAACGCATTAAATGTGATACAGGAAGCCGAGACGTAATGAGATTTGTGCTCACAATGATGTGTTAATAAAATGATTTATTTTTCTTCCATTTCTTCAATGGATTTTTCTTGTTTCTATTGAGCCGACATTTTTTTTGCAGAGCTGTACAGAGGAGGCATCCCTCGCTGGTACGTCAGGCCAGTGCCCCGGTCAGGTATTTCCGGCTCTCCGGGGCTCCGTTACAAGGAGGGGAACTGCAAGGAATGTAAGAGCCGGGCAAGTCGCACCTTGTTGCCCACCGCACCACTTTGAGCCCGGGGTCACACTGATGCGGTGAGGAATTTGCAATGGTTTCAGTACGAATTCTGCCCCGCATCAGAATTGCACCCCGTTCATGCGAACCACAGCGGGTGTGTATGTCAAGTTAACAACACCCCGAAAGCAGTCTGCAAAACGCGGTGCGATGTGCAGAATCGGATCACATAGGTGTAAATACCCGTGCGATCTGATTCTAGTGCGAACCCAAAAAAAAGGGTCCTGCACCGTTTTGGTGCGGTGCAATTAGAGCCATACAAAATGTACGACTCCGATTGCACCGCACACAAATCGCATGTGATTGGCAGAGGAATGCGGTGCGGTTCCTGTAGGAATCACATGCGATATACCTCACCACACGTACAGTACAGTTGTGTTCAAAATAATATCCGTGTGTTGAAAAAAGTGACTAAAGCTGAAAATCCTTCTAATAGCTTTTATTTCCATCCACACAAATGCATTGGGAACACGACACATTCTATTCCAAATCACAACATGAAGAAAAATACATCAAATTTGTGTTGTTCCTCTAAAAAAAATGGAAGAAAAGTGAATATTAGACGGTTCAAAAAAATGGCCGTGTTTGTATTCTTCTTTACAAACTCAAACATTCACTATATAAACTGAGAAATGTTTGAAGATTTTGCTTTCCTTTGAATGACTTCATGAATATTTGGTTGTAGTCGCACTGTTTCTGAGAACTGCTGTACATCTGTGTTGCATGGAGTCCCCCAACTTCTGGCCCCTGTGATCAGGTATTCCAGCCCAGGATGATTGGACCACATTCCACAGTTCTTCTCTATTTCTTGGTTTGGCCTCAGAAACGGCATTTTTGATGTCACCCCACAAGTTTTCTATTGGATGAAGATCCGGGGATTGGGCTGGCCACTCCATAACGTCCATCTTGTTGGTCTGGAACCAAGATGTTGCACGTTTACTGGTGTGTTTGGGGTCGTTGTCTTGTTGGAACACCCATTTCAAGGGCATTCTCTTCAGCATAAGGCAGCATGACCTCTTCAAGTATTCTGATGGATTCAAACTGATCCATGATCCCTGGTATGCGATAAATAGGCCCCCAACACCGTAGTATGAGAAACATCCCCATATCATGATGCTTGCACCACCATGCTTCACGGTCTTCACAGTGTACTGTGGCTTGAATTCAGTGTTTGGGGGTCGTCTGACAAACTGTCTCCGCCCACTAGACCCAAAAAGAACAATCTTACCTTCATCAGTCCACAAAATGTTGCGTCATTTCTCTTTAGGCCGGTCAATGTGCTCTTTGGCAGATTGTAACCTCTTCAGCACACGTCTTTTTCCCAACAGTGGGACTTTGCGGGGACTTCTTGCAGATAGCTTGGCTTCACATCGGCGTCTTCTAATTGTAACAGTCCTCACAGGGAACGTCACACCTTCTTTCATCTTCCTGGAGCTGATTGTTGGCTGAGTCCTCACAGGGAACGTCACACCTTCTTTCATCTTCCTGGAGCTGATTGTTGGCTGAGTCCTCACAGGGAACGTCACACCTTCTTTCATCTTCCTGGAGCTGATTGTTGGCTGAGTCCTCACAGGGAACGTCACACCTTCTTTCATCTTCCTGGAGCTGATTGTTGGCTGAGTCCTCACAGGGAACGTCACACCTTCTTTCATCTTCCTGGAGCTGATTGTTGGCTGAGTCCCGCCCCATTTTGGCTATTCTTCTATCCATTCCAATGGTAGTTTTTCGCTTTCTTCCACGTCTTTCAGGTTTTGGTTGCCATTTTAAAGCATTTGCCATCATTTTAGCTGAGCAGAGCAGCCGATCATTTTCTGCACTTCTTTATATGTTTTCCCCTCCAATCAACTTTTTAATCAAGGTACGCTGTTCTTCTGAACAATGTCTGGAACGACCCATTTTCCTCAGAATTTCAGAGAGAAATGCACTGTAACCAGCATGTCCAACATTTGCTGCCTTCCTTCCTTAAATAAGGGCAATAATTGCCACCTGTTTTTCACAAAGAATGAATGACCTCACTAATAGAACTCCACACGGCTATTATTGTGAACACGCCCCTTTCAATGAGTGATTCAATGACACAGAATCAGCAGCATGCATGTCATGACTGTCGGGTCTGTTGGATTTCTATGACTCTACTACACCTGCTAGGAAATTATTTGCCATGTAGAAATATCATTTCCACCAAAAACAGTGATTGATCCGGTTAGTGATGTCTGACGGCTATTATTTTCAACACAACTGTATGTTCAGCCGTGCGAGACAAATACATTCTTTACAAATCATACAATGTGATCTCCTGAATTCTGTCCTCAGAGTGGGAATCCCCTGCAATGTGAATGTCAGACCCTCCATGATGGAGAAGTGGGAGAACTTGCAGAATCGCAGGGGGTTCAAATACTTCTGTTCCTCCCTGTATATTGGTTACATCTTTTTCTGTAAATATTTTTATTGCACCCTTTTGACCTTTTTAGTAATAAATCTTACTTTCTGAAAGCGTTGAACTGTTTCTAAAGCTCTTTAATGCAAACTCTGAACCCGCCTCTGAAGAGCGATACTGTGTGTTAAATGTCGGTATATCTCTGCCTGCGGTGACCGCGGTGTACAGACGCTTATGCAAACATCCTAGTGTTATAGCTGATATTGCCGAGTCTCCTCTTTCTCTGTACAAAAAGGAGGTGGTGGCAGTGTGAAGCGTTCATTTGGAACATCGGTGTGCAGGGTGCAGCTGGGCGTGGCATTGTTACCCACGTGACAGCCGGTTTCAGATTGGCTAGTCCTTCGGTCACAAGTTTCATGTTTTGCCAATGTGAACAGCGCTGTGTGCGGCCCCTAGTGTCATTTCCATAGGTGTTTGAGGAGCGTTTCAGACATCAGAGTCCCCCTTATATCAGAGTCCCCCTTATATCAGAGTCCCCCTTACATCAGTATCACCATCAGAGTCCCCCCCTTACATCAGTATCCCCATCAGAGTCCCCCCCTTACATCAGTATCACCATCAGAGTCCCCCCTTACATCAGTATCACCATCAGAGTCCCCCCTTACATCAGTATCTCCATCAGAGTCCCTCCTTACATCAGTACCCCATCAGATTCCCCCCCTTACATCAGTATCCCCATCAGAGTCCCCCCCTTACATCAGTATCACCATCAGAGTCCCCCCTTACATCAGTATCAGTATCACCATCAGAGTCCCCCCTTACATCAGTATCTCCATCAGAGTCCCTCCTTACATCAGTACCCCATCAGAGTCCCCCCCTTACATCAGTATCCCCATCAGAGTCCCCCCTTACATCAGTATCCCCATCAGAGTCCCCCCTTACATCAGTATCACCATCAGAGTCCCCCCTTACATCAGTATCACCATCAGAGTCTCCCCTTACATCAGTATCACCATCAGAGTCCCCCTTACATCAGTATCCCCATCAGAGTCCCCCCCCTTACATCAGTATCCCCATCAGAGTCCCCCCTTACATCAGTATCACCATCAGAGTCCCCCCTTACATCAGTATCACCATCAGAGTCTCCCCTTACATCAGTATCACCATCAGAGTCCCCCTTACATCAGTATCCCCATCAGAGTCCCCCCCCCCCCTTACATCAGTATCCCCATCAGAGTCCCCCCTTACATCAGTATCACCATCAGAGTCCCCCCCTTACATCAGTATCACCATCAGAGTCTCCCCTTACATCAGTATCACCATCAGAGCCCCCCCCCCTTACATCAGTATCCCCATCAGAGTCCCCCCCCCCCCTTACATCAGTATCCCCATCAGAGTCCCCCCTTACATCAGTATCACCATCAGAGTCCCCCTTACATCAGTATCCCCATCAGAGCCCCCCCCCCCTTACATCAGTATCCCCATCAGAGCCCCCCCCCCCCCCCCTTACATCAGTATCTCCATCAGAGCCCCCCCCCCCTTACATCAGTATCCCCCCAGTCATCAGTATCCCCGTCAGAGTCCCCCCCCCCCTTACATCAGTATTCCCCATCAGAGTCCCCCCTTACATCAGTATTCCCATTAGAGTCCCCCCTTACATCAGTATCCCCATCAGAGTCCCCCCTTACATCAGTATCTCCATCAGAGTCCCTCCTTACATCAGTACCCCATCAGAGTCCCCCCCTTACATCAGTATCCCCATCAGAGTCCCCCCTTACATCAGTATCTCCATCAGAGTCCCCCTTACATCAGTATCCCCATCAGAGTCCCCCCTTACATCAGTATCCCCATCAGAGTCCCCCCTTACATCAGTATCACCATCAGAGTCTCCCCTTACATCAGTATCCCCATCAGAGTCCCCCCTTACATCAGTATCACCATCAGAGTCCCCCTTACATCAGTACCCCCATCAGAGTCCCCCCCTTACATCAGTATCCCCATCAGAGTCCCCCTTACATCAGTATCCCCATCAGAGTCCCCCCCTTACATCAGTATCCCCGTCAGAGTCCCCCTTACATCAGTATCCCCGTCAGAGTCCCCCTTACATCAGTATCCCCGTCAGAGTCCCCCCCTTACATCAGTATCCCCATCAGAGTCCCCCCCCCCTTACATCAGTATCCCCATCAGAGCCCCCCTTACATCAGTATCCCCGTCAGAGTCCCCCCCCCTTACATCAGTATCCCCGTCAGAGTCCCCCTTACATCAGTATCCCCGTCAGAGCCCCCTTACATCAGTATCCCCATCAGAGCCCCCCCTTACATCAGTATCCCCATCAGAGCCCCCCCTTACATCAGTATCCCCATCAGAGCCCCCCCCTTACATCAGTTCCCCATCAGAGCCCCCCTTACATCAGTATCCCCATCAGAGCCCCCCCTTACATCAGTATCCCCATCAGAGTCCCCCCCTTACATCAGTATCCCCATCAGAGCCCCCCCTTACATCACTATCCCCATCAGAGCCCCCCTTACATCAGTATCCCCATCAGAGCCCCCCCTTACATCAGTATCCCCATCAGAGCCCCCCTTACATCAGTATCCTCATCAGAGCCCCCCTTACATCAGTATCCCCATCAGAGCCCCCCCTTACATCAGTATCCCCATCAGAGCCCCCCCGTAACATCAGTATCCCTATCAGAGCCCCCGTTACATCAGTATTCCCATCAGAGTCCCCCCTTACATCAGTATCTCCATCAGAGCCCCCCTTACATCACTATCCCCATCAGAGTCCCCCCTTACATCAGTATCTCCATCAGAGCCCCCCCCCCCTTACATTAGTATCCCCATCAGAGCCCCCCCCCCCCTTACATTAGTATCCCCATCAGAGCCCCCGTTACATAACAGGCTGTATAGAGTCATGCAGGGGGTGACCCGCAGTGTGTAGTTTGGTGACCCCGGCTGGGTGACACGAATTCTTCTCTGTTTATTTCCTTTTTTATTTCATACATTTCTGCTTTTATCTGTTTTTAGTACTTTGTTCTGCTGATCTCCCGCAGCCACGGCCTGTCTCAGGTGATGGCGGTCTTTCCCAGGGCGGGATTCCTGATGGTGACAAAACTGGGCCCTTGTAGACTCCATTGGAAGCCAGTGTGACAGGGTGACAACACAGAGGGACAACTGGGTGATGGGCAGAGCGTTGTCACCCTACAACAGGAAGTGCCTGATCTTTGTGGTGGGATCACCGGGGGTGAGGTTGTCTATGAGAATGGTGGAGGGGTGAGGGGGGAGGGGACACACACGGCTGAGGAGGTACATGAACTTATATATTTAAGAGACACCCCCCCGGCCCGGAATGGTTCAGTCCGATCTGTGGACTCAGCTGAAATACTAGGTAACGGAAGATTCCATTTCAGCGGAGTATAGGGGGGGCTGGTGAGAGCACATGTCCAGCCTGGCCCCCCACCCGGCGGTATAGATGTGGGTGTATGGAGGGCGGAGATTATAAATGATGACGGGTGAGATCGGAGGGGTGGGTGTGTCCGGGGTGAGAAGGAAATCCTCTCCGTGTGTGCTGGGCTCCCCCCGCCGGCTGTGCGGATGGTTGGCTCCCGGGGTAAATGTCAGTCAGGCGGCAGGAAGATCACCGGAGAGGTTCGTCCATTCATCTCTGAGTACGGGGGGGGGACCTTCGGGTGAGGCACTGTGGGGAGCAGTGTGGGGGTACAGTAGGGAGCGCAGTGAAGGAGCATTGTAGGGGTACAGTGGGGAGCAGTGGGGGTGTCGCAGGGGTATAGTAGGGTGCTGTGTGGTGATGCAGTGAAGGAGCACTGTGGGGGTACAGTGAAGGAGCACTGTGGGGGTACAGTGGGAAGCAGTGTCGGGGTGCAGTGGAGTACAGAGGGGAGCAGTATGGGGGGTGTCGCAGGGGTACAGTAGGGTGCTGTGTGGTGATGCAGTGAATGCACTGTGATACAGTGAAGGAGCACTGTGGGGGTACAGTGAAGGAGCACTGTGGGGGTACAGTGAAGGAGCACTGTGGGGGTACAGTGAAGGAGCACTGTGGGGGTACAGTAGGGAGCACTGTGGGGGTACAGGGAGCACTGTGGGGAGAAGGCAGGTCAGTATGGGGGTGCAGAATCTGACCCCTGTACCTATTTATTTATTTCAGGTACTTATATATCGCCGTCAATTTACTCAGCACTTTACATATATATTGTACATTCACATCAGTCCCCGCCCCCGAGGAGCGTACAATCTAAGGTCCCTAACTCACATTCATACATACACATACTAGGGACAATGTAGACAGGAGCCAATTCACCCACCAGCATGTCTTTGGAGTGTGGGAGGAAACCGGAGTACCCGGAGGAAACCCACGCAGGCACAGGGAGAACATGCAAACTCCAGGCAGGTGGTGCCGTGGCTGGGATTTGAACCAACGACCCGAGTACTGCCAGGGTGGAGTGCTAACCACTCAGCCACTGTGCTGCCCTGTGTGACACGCTCAGTATTTCGGGGTCCCCGTACCCCCCACGTTTTGTATCGATACCTCCCGGGGTTCGTACCAAATGCGACTTTGAAACGTATTCACTTGGAGCAGCGCGATTTGAGAGCCGCGGGCCCGGCGTGATTTCAGAGCCGCGGGTCTGGTGTGATTTCAGAGCCGCGTGATTTCAGAGCCGCGGGCCCGGCACGATTTCAGAGATGCGGGCCGGTGTGATTTCAGAGCCGCGGGTCCGGCGCGATTTCAGAGATGCGGGCCCGGTGTGATTTCTCACGCACAGATGTTGATGCGAGTCGCTCCCGGAATCACCGAGAATAGCGCGGGAACTACTTTCAAAATGGCTGCCGAGTCGCGCCGATTGCAAGAGCTCCGTTCCCAGGAATAGGTTGTGACTTTTGATGCGAACGAATTGCAATGGTGAAATCGCATGACAAGTCGCAGCCGTGTGATCCAGGATGGGAGTACAGTGAGTGGGGGAGGGGGGGGGGCAGGAAGTGATGATATCCGAGATAACATTGTAACAATAATTGGATACATTGTATTCCACACCGAGGGGCCGCCTCCCACTGGTAGGACGTCCGGAACTGCAGGATATCGGGGCTCATTCCAGAACACGGATCCATGATAATGATGTCATAGATGCAGCCAGGGGCGGACTGACAACTCATGGGGCCCCCAGGGAATTGGGGATCATGGGGCCCCTGTGTCCTCGCCCACACTCAAACCACACCCAAAAAAGCCTATGAAAGGTACCAGGGGCATCTCATGTGGCCCCTTACTAACCCCGGGCCCTCAGGCAGTGCCAGAGTTCCCAAAATGGTCAGTCCGCCCCTGGGTGCAGCCAACCAGAAGTCTCTGTACTGATGGTGATCTCTGATTGGTTGGGCTGAGATGAGTCGTGTCATTTCCCCCTCAAGCTGCGTCACTGTGAGGATCGGATACCTGTACCCCGAACTCCAGGCAGTCATGTATATTCATTGATAGAGTGTGTATATATATATATATATAGACCGTGGACATAAAAGTCTTCACACCCCCCCCCTCCCATTAAAATGTCGGGTTTCGGTGATGTAAAACAAAATGAGACAAAGATAAATCATTTCAGAACTTTTTCCACCTTCAATGTGACCTACAAACTGTACAACTCGGCTGAACAACAAACTGAAATCTTTTAGGTGGAGGGAAGTAAACCTAAAACACTAAAATAATCTGGTTGCATAAGTGTTCACACCCTTACACTCATCCTTTGTTGAAGCCCCTTATGATGTGATTCCGGCAGTCTTTTGGGGGAGGAGTCTATCAGCACGGCACATCCTGACTCAGCAATATTTGCCCGCTCTTCCTTGCAAAAACATTCCAATTCTGTCAGATTGCGTGTCATCTCCTGCACACAGCCCTCTACACATCCCCCCACAGATCTTCCATCGGGTTCAGGTCTGGGCTCTGGCTGGGACATTCCAGAACTTCCCTCTTTGCTGGTGAAGCCGTTCCTTTGTGGATTTGGATGGATGCTTTGGATGGTTGTCATGATGAAAGGTGAAGTTCCTCTTCATGAAGCCGGAAGGTTCTGTACCGATATTGACCGGTATTTGGACCTGATCATAGTTCCCTCTACATGGACTAAGGCCCCAGTTCCAGCTGGATAAAAACAGCCCCAAAGCGTGATGCTGCCACCACCATGCTTCACGGTGGGTATGGTGTTCTATTGGTGAGGTGCAGTGTTGTTTTTGCGCCAAACATATCTTTTGGAGTTCTGGCCAAAACGTTCAACCTTGGTGTCATCAGACCAGAACACATTTTCTGCATGCTTCTGGGAGACTTCAGATGTGTCTTTGCAGAATGTAGCCGGGCTTGGATGGTTTTCTTCGTAAGAAAAGTCTTCCACGCGACCCCATAGCCCAGACATATGAAGAACACGGGAGATCGGTGTCACATGGACCACACAGCCAGGACTTGCCAGATGTTCTTTCATTTCCCTTCATGTTGCTGTAGGCCTCTTGGCCGCCTCCCAGATCAGTTTCTTTTTGTTTGTCATTTTTTCCCTCGTGGTCATTTTGGTCAGGGTCACTGTTGGGTGATGTCAGATGTCTTGGTGTGGTCACTGTTGTCACTGTTGGCGACGTCACTGTTGACATCGCCAACAGACGGGGACAGAAGAATTTCCAAGGCATTAAATATACTATGGATCACAGTGAAGACAGTCATCAAGTGGAAAAAAAATATGGCGCAACAGTGACCTCGCCCAACAGTGACCTCGCCCAACAGTGACCTCGCCCAACAGTGACCTCGCCCAACAGTTCATGTTGGTCCATGTTCATATATCTGTGCTATGGGGTGGAGTGGAAGACTGAAGACTTTTCTTACGAAGAAAACCATCCAAGCCCGGCTACATTCTGCAAAGACACATCTGAAGTCTCCCAGAAGCATGCAGGAAAATGTGTTCTGGTCTGATGACACCAAGGTTGAACGTTTTGGCCATAATTCCAAAAGATATGTTTGGCGCAAAAAAACAACACTGCACACCACCAATAGAACACCATACCCACCGTGAAGCATGGTGGTGGTGGCAGCATCACGCTTTGGGGCTGTTTTTTATCCAGCTGGAACTGGGGCCTTAGTCCATGTAGAGGGAACTATGATCAGGTCCAAATACCGGTCAATATCGGTACAAAACCTTCCGGATGCATGAAGAGGAACTTCATCTTTCAGCATGACTTATAGCGGGACTGCGGCGGACATTCTGATACTGGGGGGGGGGGGGGGGGGCGGTGACACCAATATAGTGATCAGTGCTAGAAAAAAAAAAAAAAAAAAGCACTAACACTGTACTAATGACACTGGGCAGGAAGGGGTTATCATGAGGGGCTATCAAAGGGTTAACTGTGTGCTGGGAGTTACTAGGGGCTGGGGTCTGTGTGCTTCATTGTAATCACACTGCTGTGGATGGCTGTGCTGTGCAGTGCGCCCGAGCCGACAAGGAGGAGGACTGTTAGTAAACAAAACAATTCTCCTCCCCGGGGGCGTTTTTTGGATGAAAGTCTATGGGGATGCAGTTTTGCATTGAGGTCACTAGGAGGGGGGGGGGTTTGCATTGAAGTCTATGGGCTTGCGATTTTTGCATTGAAATCGCTAGGGGACGTTTTTGCATTGAAGTCTATGGGGACGCAATTTTGCATTGAAGTCTATGGGTTTGTGATTTTGCATTGAAGTCTATGGGCTTGCGATTTTTGCATTGAAATCGCTAGGGGACGTTTTTGCATTGAAGTCTATGGGGACGCAATTTTGCATTGAAGTCTATGGGTTTGTGATTTTTGCATTGAAGTCTATGGGCTTGCGATTTTTGCATTGAAATCGCTAGGGGACGTTTTTGCATTGAAGTCTATGGGGACGCAATTTTGCATTGAAGACTATGGGTTTGTGATTTTGCATTGAAGACTATGGGTTTGCGATTTTGCATTGAAGTCGCTAGGGGCGTTTTTGTATGAAAGTCTATGGGGACGTGGTTTTGCACTGAGGTCACTAGGGGGGTGTTTTCGCATTGATGTCTATGGGCTTGCGATTTTGCATTAAAGTCACTAGGGGGCATTTTTCAAAATCTATGGGGACACGATGTTGCATTGAAGTCACTAGAGGTGTGTTTTTTGCATTGAAGTCTATGGGCTTGTGGGTTTGCATTGAGGTCACTATTGTTATTGGCATGGATCTATTATTATGGGGGATATTGTTAAGGGGGTGGATCTATTGTTTGGGGGATTATTATTGCTCTGGGGATCTTCTGTTATTGGGGTGGATCTATTATGGGGGGTATTGTTATGGAGTATTGTTGCTGCAGGATCTATTGTTGCTGGTGTGGATTTATTTCTATAGGGGGTACTGTTGCTGGGGGGTTTGTTGTTACATGGGGTATTGTTGCTGGGGTGGATCTATTGTCATGCGGGATATTGTTGCAGGGAGGTTTATTGTTACGGGGGGGGGGGGTAATGTTTCTGGGGGATTATTATTGCTGGGGGGTCTATTGTTGCTGGGGTACTACTATTGCTATGGGGGTCTTTTGTTGCTGGGGGGTTATTATTGCTGGGGGGGTCTAATGTTGCTGGGGGGGGTATTTTTGCTGAGGGTCTATTGTTGCTGGGGGGTGGGGGATTATTATTGCTGTGGGGAGGTGTATTGTTGCTGGTGGGAAATATTACTCGGTGAGTCTATTGTTGCTTGGGGGTGTATATTGCCCAGCGAGTCTATTGTTGCTGGGGGGGTCTATTGTTGCTGGGGTTTATTATTGTTGGGGGGCCTATTGTTGCGGGGGGGTTTGTTCTTTCTTGCTGCAGGGGATCTATATTACTGCTTTTCTTTTTATCATGAACACATTCCAAAAACATTAGCACCACAAAATGATACTTGTTTCTGTAATCTCTCTAAAAGGGACAGTACATTGGGGCGGGGTGGTAGGGGGAGAGTACATTGGGGGGGGGGGTGGTAGGGGAGGTACATTGGGGGGGGGGGGGGGGGGGGAGAGTACATTGGGGGGGTAGGGGGAGAGTACATTGGGGGGGGGGGGGGGTAGGGTAGAGTACATTGGGGGGTAGGGGACAGTACATGGGGGGGGGGGGGGGGTTATAGGGGAGGACAGTACATGGGGGGGTAGGGGACAGTACATGGGGGGGGCACAGTACATGGGGGGGGGGTAGGACACAGTACATGGGGGGGGGGGTAGGGGACAGTGCATGGGGGGGGTAGAGGACAGTACATGGGGGGGGGGGTTATAGGGGAGGACAGTACATGGGGGGGGGGGGGGGGGTAGGGGACAGTACATGGGGGGGCACAGTACATGGGGGGGTAGGGGACAGTACATTGGGGGGGGTAGGAGAGAGTACATTGGGGGGGGGGTAGGGGACAGTGCATGGGGGGGGGGGGGGGGGTAGGGGACAGTACATAAGGGGGAGGTAGGAGACAGTACATATGGGGGGGGGGGGGGTAGGAGACAGTACATATGGGGGGGGGGGGGTAGGAGACAGTACATATGGGGGGGGGGTAGGAGACAGTACATATGGGGGGGGGGTAGGAGACAGTACATATGGGGGGGGGGGTAGGAGACAGTACATATGGGGGGGGGTAGGAGACAGTACATATGGGGGGGGGTAGGGTAGGAGACAGTACGGGGGGGGGGGGGGGGGGTACATAGGAGGGGGGGTACATATGGGGGGGGGGGGGGGGGGTAGGAGACAGTACATATGGGGGGGGGGGGGGTAGGAGACAGTACATATGGGGGGGGGGGTAGGAGACAGTACATATGGGGGGGGGGGTAGGAGACAGTACATATGGGGGACAGGGGGGGGGGTAGGAGACAGTACATATGGGGGGGGGGGTAGGAGACAGTACATATGGGGGGGGGGGGGGGTAGGAGACAGTACATATGGGGGGGGGTAGGAGACAGTGCATGGGGGGGTAGGAGACAGTACATGGGGGGGGGGGGGGTAGGAGACAGTACATATGGGGGGGGGGGGGTAGGAGACAGTACATATGGGGGGGGGGGGGGGGTAGGAGACAGTACATATGGGGGGGGGGGGGTAGGAGACAGTACATATGCGGGGGGGGGGGGGGTAGGAGACAGTACATATGGGGGGGGGGGGGGTAGGAGACAGTACATATGGGGGGGGGGGGTAGGAGACAGTACATGTGGGGGGGGGGGGGGGTAGGAGACAGTACATGTGGGGGTGGGGGGTAGGAGACAGTACATGTGGGGGTGGGGGGTAGGAGACAGTACATGTGGGGGTGGGGGGTAGGAGACAGTACATATGGGGGGGGGGGGGGGTAGGAGACAGTACATATGGGGGGGGGGGGGGGGTAGGAGACAGTACATATGGGGGGGGGGGGGTAGGAGACAGTACATATGGGGGGGGGGGGTAGGAGACAGTACATATGGGGGGGGGGGGGTAGGAGACAGTACATGGGGGGAGTAGGAGACAGTACATGGGGGAGGTGAGTAGGGGACGGATACAAGTGGTGGCTTGGATGGGAGGAGTACCTGCACCTATTCTCTGGTCATGGCCAGTGGTGGGATTGTCTGTTTCTAAGTTCTTGTCTTCTCCTGCAGATCTTCCGTGACCTGCAAGCCCTGAGGTAGAGGCCATGTGGCTCGTGGTTTCCCTCCTCGGCCTGACCGCCGCCTTGTTCTCCTTGCTGGATGTCTGGTATTTCTTCCGCGCTTTCTTCTCAGTCCTGAGAGCTCGCCTGCAGCCGTGGTGAAGGATCTGCTGAAGGAACACGCGTTCTCGGTCTGGTTCTGCCCCATGACCTGGACTTCCTCCGCTTCACATGAACAATTCCCGCTACCTCCGGGAGGCCGACTTCGCCAGATTGTCCTACTTCACCCGCAGCGGCCTGTTCGGAGCCATACACGGGCTGGGGGCCGGCATGGTGATGGCCGCCTGCACCGTCCGCTATCGGCGCTCGCTGCGCCTCTTTGAGATGTTTGAGATCCGCACCCGTCTGCTCTGCTGGGATGACAAGGCCTTCTATGTGGAACAACGCTTCGTGGCACCAAACGATGGCTTTGTCTGCGCCGTTCTGCTGAGTCGGCAGCACATCATAGGAAACACTCCAGACAAAGTGGTGCAAAGCATGTGCAAAAGAAAGGTGAGTCGTCGGGGGGAACAGGGATGTGAGGTACTTTAGGGGGGAACTCCAGACATGGACATCTTTTATACATTCTCTACGAATGTTCTTCAAAAATTCCAAATAGAAGTCTATGGCAAAGCTCAGCTAACCTCCAAGAATGCTTCAGGTGCCCAGGGTGCAGGTAATCCGCAGCTGTTCAGTGTGAAAGCAGTCTCTTATAGGGGGCTCAGGACACTAAGAACTCCTTCACATCCATAGTTGAGGCCTGTTTTTACCACACACTCCCATGGGGGGGCACGGGCCTAGTGCATTACCTTCAACCACTTCCCGTGCGGTCCATGTATATATAACGGCCAGATGGTGGCAGTGCAGGGGCGGATGGCAGTTTATAAATGTCCTCCCTGCTTGTGCGTTCTCCCTGGGAGCGCGCAGCACCGCGATCCCGTGCCCGCTGTGTCCTTCAGGACACAGCAGAACACCGATCGTTGTACGGGACCTCTGTGCGAGGTCCCGATCATGTGATCACTGATTGGCCAGTCAGTGATCACATGAAGAGTAGTAAGCAAGATGTCACTTCTGACATTATTGCTTACTACGTGTGAAATCTATGAATGATCACAGAGATCACATGGTACAGGGCTATTCACAACAGCCTTGTACCATGTGACAAGCTGTGGCCAATCACAGCTTTCACAGTAGTTCTCAATGGCTGCAAGAATGCAGCCAGAGATAAGGAGAAATGATTGCTTTTACAGCCTTTATGGGTGTAAAAGCAATCAGTGTAAAAAAAAAAATCGTCATCACCCCCCACAAGTAGTGCAGTGTCACCATGGTGATACTACTGCTAGGGTGACAGTATGTAAAAAAAAATAAATAAATAAAAATGTAAAAAACAATTTTGAAAAAATTATAATTTTTGGTTATAAACTAATTTGGGTTATTTTTTTTTTACTAAAAAGATAACTGAATACATTTTGGCCAAGATTTATTATGAAATATTATTTATTTGCAAAATTTTATAAGAAAAACACTTTTTTTCAACATTTTTGGACTTTTTCATTTATATCGCAAAAAAAAATTAAAATCCCAGCGGTGAATAAATACCACCAAAATAAAGTTTTATCTGTCTCAAAAGATGCTAAAAAATTCTTATCTGGGTACAGTGTTGCATGACCGCGCAATTGTCATTCAAAGTGTGATAGCGCTGAAAGCTGAAAATTGGCCTGGACTGGAGGGGGGGGGGGGGGGGGGGAAGGGGGGGGTGTCCGGACTGGAAGGGGGGGGGGGGGGGGGTGTCCGGACTGGAAGGGGGGGGGGGGGGTGTCCGGACTGGTGTGTCCGGACTGGAAAGGGGGGGAAAGTGTCCGGACTGGAAGGGGGGGGGAAAGTGTCCGGACTGGGAATGGGGGGGGGGGGAAAGTGTCCGGACTGGAAGGGGGGGGAAAGGTCCGGACTGGAAGGGGGGGGGAAAGTGTCCGGACTGGAAGGGGGGGGGGGGGGAAAGTGTCCGGACTGGAAGGGGGGGGGGGGGGGGGGGGGAAGTGTCCGGACTGGAAGGGGGGGGGGGGGGGAAAGGTCCGGACTGGAAGGGGGGGGGGGGGGAAAGTGTCGGAAGGGGGGGGGGGGGGGGAGTGTCTGGACTGGAAGGGGGAGGGGGGAAAGTGTCCAGACAAGAAGGGGGGGGGAAAGTGTCACAAAGGATGCAATGTGGTCCAAAAACCCCTAAAGTGGTCTGGTGGGGGACTGTAGACCTCTGGATAGCTGGTGGCAGACGTGTTTCGTTGTACCTCTTCCTCAGAGCCCATTGACATTGTGGAGTCCACTGTCCAGCGCAGGAGTACATGCATTTGGTTGCTTTATTCTTTCCACACACTCCCAACCACTGGTGTAGCATCAGGGGTCAAGTGGCAACCATGCTCCAGGGGACCCGTGCGGCCTCCCTGTCACATTCTGTTTTACACCTGGACAGGAGGGGTGGTGGGGGCGGCATATACAGGAACCGATCCTCTCCATTTTCCTCCAACAGCCGCTGAAAGCTGACTTCTCCTCCTCTCCCTCCTGCTGGCATTCAGCGACTGCAGGAGGAAAATGCTCATTATGCTATTCAAAATTAAAAAAAAAAAATGTGAAATTCTGAACCTTTTCATTTTTATTGTGGCCCGCGACCGGTTACCAAATCACCTTACAGTGAAGGAAATGCGTATTTGCTCCCCCCTGATGGTGAATGTTCGCCCCTCACACAGAAATGATCGGTCTAACAATGGAATGTTCGCCCCTCACACAGAAATGATCGGTCTAACAATGGAATGTTCGCCCCTCACACAGAAATGATCGATCTACACAATGGAATGTTCGCCCCTCACACAGAAATGATCGGTCTAACAATGGAATGTTCGGTGTAACACTGAGAGACCGAATACAACAACAAATTCAGCAGAAATGCGTCTAACAAATGATGACAGATCTGCATGTTCATGAGGGAAAGAAGGATTTGATCCCCTACCATTCAGCAGGATTTCTGGCTCCCAGGTGTCTCTCATACAGGTAACAAGCTGAGATTAGAAGCAGTCTCTTAAAGGGAGTGCTGCTAATCTCATTGTGTTACCTGTATAAAAGACACCTGTCCACAGGAGCCATCAAACCATCAGATTCCAAACTCTCCACCATGGCAAAGACCAAAGAGCTGTCCAAGGATGTCAGGGACAAGATGGTAGACCTACACAAGGCTGGACTGGGCTACCAAACTATGGCCAAGCAGCTTGGTGAGAAGGTGACAACAGTTGGTGCAATCATTCACAAATGGAAGAAACACAAAACAAGTGTCAGTCTCCCTAGGTCTGGGGCACCATGCAAGATCTCACCTCGTGGAGTGTCAATGATCATGAGAACAGGGAGGAATCATCCCAGAACTACACGTGAGGATCTTGTCAATGATCTCCAGGCAGCTGGGACCACAGTCACCAAGAAAACAATTGGTAACACACTACGCCGACAAGGACTGAAATCCTGCAGTGCCCGCACGGTCCCTCTGCTCAAGAAAGCCCATGTCCAGGCCCGTCTGAAGTCTGCCACTGAACATCTGAATGATGCAGAGGAGGACTGGTGGGAAGTGTTGTGGGCAGAGGAGACCAAAATCCAGCTCTTTGGCATCAACTCAACTCGCCGTGTTTGGAGGAGGAGGAATGCTGCCTATGACCCCAAGAACACCATCCCAACTGTGAAACATGGTGGTGGAAACATTCTGCTTTGGGTGGGGTTCTGCGAAGGGGACAGGACAACTGCACCGCATCAAAGAGACGATGGACAGGGCAATGTACCCTCAAATCTTGGGTAAGAACCTTCTTCCCTCAGCCAGGGCATTGAAAATGGGTGGTGGATGGGTGTTCCAGCATGACAATGACCCAAAACACACGGCCAAGGCAACAAAGGAGCGGCTCAAGAAGAAGAACATTAAGGTCCTGGAGTGGCCTAGCCAGTCTCCAGACCTTCATCCGACTGATATGTGGAGGAGCTGAAAGTTCAAGTTGCCAAACATCAGCCACCAAACCTTAATGACTTGGAGAGGATCTGCCAAGAGGAGTGGGCCAAAATCCCTCCTGAGATGTGTGCGAACCTGGGGGCCAACTCCAGGAAACGTCTGACCTCTGTGATTGCCAACAAGGGATTGGCCACCAAGTACTAAGTCATGTTTTGTGAAGGGGATCAAATCCTTCTTTCCCTCATGAACATGCAGATCAGTCATCATTTGTTAGACGCATTTCTGCTGAATTTGTTGTTGTATTCTGTCTCTCAGTGTTACACCGAACATTCCATTGTTAGACCGATCATTTCTGTGTGAGGGGCGAACATTCCATTGTTAGACCGATCATTCTGTTGAGGGGCGAACATTCCATTGTTAGACCGATCGTTTCTGTGTGAGGGGCGAACATTCCATTGTTAGACCGATCATTTCTGTGTGAGGGGCGGAATTCCATTGTTAGACCATCAGTTTCAGGGAGCGAAAATTCCACGATTTTTCTTCACTGAGACCGATCATTTCTGTGTGGCCCTCGAACATTCAGCATCAGAGGGGAGCAAATACACATTTCCTTGAGCCCTCACTCTTCCTTGGCACCCCTGTTGAGTGGGGCATGGCCCCCCAACAGGGCAGTGTCACCATACCGGTTATGATGAGAGGGGATTAAAGCAATCAAACCGCTAAACCAATTTCAAAAATAAATGCAAAATAAAATGGATTGAAAACTATTTTGCCTCCAAAAGGGCAGCTATTTGCCAATGGTTTATGTTCCTGTTGTTTTTTTGCGTCCTCAGGTGGAGTCTCCAGAATTCCCGGACGAGGTCCTCCACTGGATCGACTACAACGACAACAGCAGCCAGAAGCTGAGGGCAGAGAGCGGGATGGTTCACAGTAAAGACCAGTAGCGTCCATCGCTGGCCCCCCCCCCCCCCATTATACGTGCTGACCCTGCCTGGTCTAGTGCAGCTAGTTTAGGATTGTGGCTCCAGTGTAGACGTTTAGTTCTCTGCTCCAGATCTGTAAGATACAAGCTGTGTCATTCCCGCTGGCGAGCCTCCAGGAGAGCGCTGTGTACAGGTCAGGGGGGCTCGGCCATCTGCGTCTCCTGGAAGAATTGTATCTTTCGTTTTTTTTGTGTTTTTATTTATTTTGCAATAGTGCACGAGCGCCAACCCCAGGCGCAACAACCCAGCATACAAAGTTTATTTGCACTCAGTCAAGCAACTTCTAGTCTTTGAGGAACTGCAGTTCCAGGGCAAGCTGGAAGTTTGTAGTTTTTCAGCATCTAGAGCAGCCTTTCTCAACCTTTTTTACCCCAGGGGGATCCCTAAAATATTAATCTAGTCTCGGGGAACTCAAAAAAAAAAAAAAATATTCATTGGGGTTCAATGGGGAAAGGTCTCCTTACATTTCTGGTCAGTAGGAAAAATGCAACCCTTACAGACAGCTAAATGGATAATTGGGTCATACTGCTGGTTTTGCCAAGTAGCGTTGGTCCAGGAACTATGCAGGCACCATCAGATAGGAAGTCAATCTGCCACAGCTCAGGGAACCCCTAACAACCTCTGGAGGAACCCTCGTTTTCCACGCACCCCTGGCTGAGAATGGCTGATATGGAGTAGTGTTTCTGGACTACTCTCGAAGCTCCATGCATCTTCAGAAACCTCTGGAGGAACCCTCGTTTTCCACGCACCCCTGGCTGAGAACGGCTGATATGGAGTAGTGTCTCTGGACTACTCCTCTCAAAGCTCCATGCATCTTCAGAAACCTCTGGAGGAACCCTCATTTTCCACGCACTCCTGGCTGAGAATGGCTGATATGGAGTAGTGTTTCTGGACTACTCCTCTCGAAGCTCCATGCATCTTCAGAAACCTCTGGAGGAACCCTCGTTTTCCACGCACCCCTGGCTGAGGACGGCTGATATGGAGTAGTGTTTCTGGACTACTCCTCTCGAAGCTCCATGCATCTTCAGAAACCTCTGGAGGAACCCTCATTTTCCACGCACCCCTGGCTGAAAATGGCTGATATGGAGTATTGTTTCTGGACTACTCCTCTCGAAGCTCCATGCATCTTCAGAAACCTCTGGAGGAACCCTCGTTTTCCACGCACCCCTGGCTGAGGACGGCTGATATGGAGTAGTGTCTCTGGACTACTCCTCTCAAAGCTCCATGCATCTTCAGAAACCTCTGGAGGAACCCTCATTTTCCACGCACCCCTGGCTGAGAATGGCTGATATGGAGTAGTGTTTCTGGACTACTCCTCTCGAAGCTCCATGCATCTTCAGAAACCTCTGGAGGAACCCTCGTTTTCCACGCACCCCTGGCTGAGAATGGCTGATATGGAGTAGTGTTTCTGGACTACTCCTCTCGAAGCTCCATGCATCTTCAGAAACCTCTGGAGGAACCCTCGTTTTCCACGCACCCCTGGCTGAGAGTGGCTGATATGGAGTAGTGTTTCTGGACTACTCCTCTCGAAGCTCCATGCATCTTCAGAAACCTCTGGAGGAACCCTCATTTTCCACGCACCCCTGGCTGAGAATGGCTGATATGGAGTAGTGTTTCTGGACTACTCCTCTCAAAGCTCCATGCATCTTTAGAAACCTCTAGAGGAACCCCCATTTTTGACGCACTCCTGGCTGAGAATGACTGATATGGAGCAGTGGTTCTCCACTACTCCTTCTCTCGAACCTCCATGCATCTGCAGATCCCTTAACCTACCACAGTGCCTCCCAGCTATTATTGTGTCCCCTAGCCTCCCATAGTGACCCACAGTGCCCCTAGGCCCCCTAATGTAAAGGTCACTTTACATTTGTGGTCAGTCGGAAAAATGCAACCCTTACATACAGCTAAATAGATAATTGGGTCATACTGCTGGTTTTGCCAAGTAGTGTTGGCCCAGAAGCTATGCAGGCACCATCAGATAGGAAGTCAACCTGCCACAGCTCAGGTAACCCCTAACAACCTCTGGAGGAACTCTAGTTTTCCACGCACCCCTGGCTGCGAATGGCTGGTATGGAGCAGTGGTTCTCAACTACTCCTCTCGAAGCTCCATGCATCTACAGATCCCTTAACCTTCCACAGTGCCTCCCAGCTACTATAGTGACCCCTAATCTTGCATAGTGACCCACAGTGCCCTTAGATCCCCTAATGTAAAGGTCCCCTTACATTTGGGGTCAGTAGGAAAAATGCAACCCTTACAGACAGCTAAATGGATAATTGTGTCATACCGTTGGTTTTGCGTAGCGTTGGCCCAGGAACCATGCAGGCGCCATCAGATAGGAAGTCAACCTGCCACAGCTCAGGGAACCCCTAAGGACCTCTGGAAGAACCCTAGTCTTCCACACACCCTTGGCTGAGAATGGCTGATATGGAGCACTTGTTCTCAACTACTCCTTCTCTCGAACCTCCAGCCAGCTGCAGATCCCTCAACCCCCCACAGTGCCTCCCAGCTACCATAGTGTCCCCTAAACTTCCATAGAGACCCACAGTGCCCCTGAGAGCCTCCAGCCACTACCGTGCCGCCCAACCTCTCCCAATGACCCTCAGCCTGCTGCAGAGCCTCCAGTCCTTGATGGTCCCCCAAACCTCTAACAGTGTCCTACAGTGTCCCCCTGCCTCTGCAGGGCCACCAAGTCCTCCACAACTCCCCATCCCCCCTACAGTGACACCCAGTCCCACCCAAAGCTTTACAGCATGTCAAAATGTGTTCCCAATACATTTACTGTGTGAGTATAAACTTCATTTTTGGGGCATAAAAAGGTTTTAAAAGAAGTTACAGGACCCTGGTCTCCAAAAGGTTGAGAAACCCTGGTCTAGAGGAGGCTACGTAATGTACAAACAGGAGGACATTACATTGTGGGACCTGTGCAAAACGTTCCGGGTGCTGGATTTTGGGGTGTATTGGTCTTAATTTTTGCTGTTCATTCATTTGGAAAAAAAAAAAAAAACCTTAAAGAGTTACTCCACTTTTGTTGAGGAAAAAAAAAAAACATTCCCCTCTGGGTGATCTATGTACAGCGCAGGGATTTTAACAAACTTAGTTGCAGATTCCTTCCCTTATGCAGGCCATGCATGCTTCCAATTCCGAACGATTTTTGTCCGAAAATCGAAAACGTTGTTCGCTCGGTAATCCGATGGGCCATCAATCAAAATCGGCCGACCGAGTCATACTGTTCACCCCATATAACAGGCGAAACTTCTGCGTCTTCCAGGTCACGGCTCATGGCACATATTCTTTTCGGAAAAACAATCGTACGATTTGACAATCATTTGAGTCGAAAGTCGGTCGTTTTTTCATGAATTTTCCAACATGCCCGATCACCAAAAAAGGGGAGGAACCACGAAAATGGGCCGGTGCCATTGACCCCACTAACAGAGCGAAAATCGGCCGACTTATTCTGTCGAATTTCGACCCATGTATGGCCGGCCTTTGTTATTCTGAAGAAAAAGCTGTTTGTTTGTCTGTGTCCATGTGCAGAGTGAATGTGAATGGGAGTGATTTTATAATTCGCAATCGCCTGCAGGGCTCCAATGAGGAAAGTGGCAGGGTCTGCATCCCTTTAGATGTAACGTCCTGTTGGGAGTATCTCACCAAAAATGACAGACTTGTATCTTTGTGCAGACTTTTGGGAAAATCAGTAAGCCGATTGCACGAGCAGGAAATGATTTTTCTGGGGAGGGGTTCTGTATACTGTCTGTGTGCAGAACTCCTCCAGGCGGCCATATTGCATTTTACAGACAATCACAGCGCTGCAGATTGAAAAGGAAAGATCATTTTTAATAGCTTTCAATTACAATGTGACTTGTGTCGCAGTTGTAAATGCTATATTATTATAATTTTTTTATTTATTTGCTATTTTGTTTCCCCACAAAAGTGGAGTTACCCTTTAAAGCATTGAGCCCAGATGTCGGAGAACATTTGGCTGATTCTGTGTCTGTGAAAGTTGTCACTGATCGAGGTCATGGTCTGTCACGTTCAGCTGGACCTGTTCTGTAGTGTTGAAGACTTTTTACCACTCATCCAAGTTGCTGCTTTTAACTGCTACAGTACAGGCCGGCTGTGCAAAATCACGTGTGTGTATATATACGTGATATTCCTTATCTGGGTAGGGGCACAGGGAGACAAAAACCGGCACATGCCTGCTTTGCAGGGAGACAAAAACCGGCACATGCCTGCATTGCAGGCAGACAAAAACCGGCACATGCCTGCATTGCAGGCAGACAAAAACCGGCACATGCCTGCTTTGCAGGGAGACAAAAACTGGCACATGCCTGCTTTGCAGGGAGACAAAAACCGGCACATGCTTGCTTTGCAGGGAGACAAAAAACCGTCACATGCCTGCTTTGCAGGGAGACAAAAACCGGCACATGCCTGCTTTGCAGGGAGACAAAAACCGGCACATATAAGGGGCAAGTGCAGTTCAATGGGGACAACTATTGCCAGTTGCCTGGTCTAGTGGTTTCAGCCGGATTGGGGAATTTTACCTGTTTGTGTAGACCAATTCCTGAGTCTACTTCGGAGTTGGTTGGGGTGTAATTATTCCTGGCAGTGCCCCTTTTACTTCTCATTATAGCTGAGGGAACTTCTTGGATGAAAGTTGAAAGGTCTTCAAAATAAGGGGCAAGTGCAGTTCAATTTGGACAACTATTGCCAGTTGCCTGGTCTAGTGTTTTCAGCCGGATTGGGGAATGTTCCTGTGTCTGTAGACCAATTCCTGAGTCTACTTCGAAGTTGGTTGGGGTGTAATTATTCCTGGCAGTGCCCCTTTTACTTCTCATTATAGCTGAGGAAGCTCCTTGGATGAAAGGTCTTCAAAATAAGGGGCAAGTGCAGATCAATGGGGACAACAAATATTGCCAGTTGCCAGGTCTAGTGTTTTCAGCCAGATTAGGGAGTGTTCCTGTGT